TTCCTCATTGTTAGTTGTTATGTCTCCCTTTTCATTTCTGATTTTGCTAATTTGGATGCTCTCTCTCTGTCTTTTGGTTAGTTTGGATAAGGGCTTGTCTATCTTGTTGATTTTCTCAAAGAACTATCTCTTTGTTTCATTGATTCTTTGTATTGTTCTCTTTGTTTCTATTTTATTGACTTCAGCTCTCAATATGATTATTTCCTCCTGGGTGACTTTGCTTCTCCTTGTTCTAGAGCTTTCAAGTATGCTGTTAAGTCACTAGTGTGAGATTTCTCCAACTTCTTTATATGGGCATTTAGAACTATGAATTTTTCTTTTTTTTTTTTTCTTTTTTTGGTTTTTCGAGACAGGGTTTCTCTGTGTAGTTTTGCGCCTTTCCTGGAACTCACTTGGTAGCCCAGGTTGACCTTGAACTCATAGAGATCCGCCTGGCTCTGCCTCCCGAGTGCTGGGATTAAAGGCGTGCGCCACCACTGCCTGGCCGAATTTTTCTTTTAGCATTGCTTTCATAGTGTCACATAAATTTGGATATATAGTATATTCATTTTCATTGATCTTTAGGAAGTCTTCAATTTCTTTCTTTATTTCTTCCTTGACCCATTGGTGATTCAGTTGAGCTATATTCAGTTTCCACGAGATTGTAGGCTTTCTGTAATTTTTGGTGTTGTTGAAACCTAACTTTAAACCATGGTGGTCTGATAGAACACAGGAGATTATTCCAATTTTTTTGTATCTGTTGAGATTTGCTTTGTGATTGAGTATGTGGTCGATTTTAGAGAAGGTTCCATGGGGTGCTGAGAAGAAGGTACATTCTTTTTTGTTAGGGTAGAATGCTCTCTAGATATTAAGTCCATTTGAATCATAACATCAGTTAAGTCCCTTATTTCTCTGTTAAGCTTCAATCTGGCAGATCTGTCTTTTGGTGAGAGTGGGATGTTGAAGTCTCCCACTAATAATGTGTGGCGTTTTATGTGTGATTTAAGCTTTAGTAATGTTTCTTTTACAAATGTGGGTGCCCTTGTATTTGGGGCATAAATGTTTAGAATTGAAACTTCATCTTTGTGGATTTTTCCTGTGATGAGTATGTAATGTCCTTCTAGATCTCTTGATTCACTTTGATTTGAAGTCTATTTTGTTTAATATTAGGATAGCTACACTAGCTTGCTTCTTGAGACCATTTGATTGGAAAGACTTTTCCCAGTCTTTTACTCTGAAGTAGAGTCTATCTTTGAAGTTGAGTGTATTTATATTTTGGGGGGCAGGCTTCGAGACAGGGTTTCTCTGTAGCTTTGGAGCCTGTCCTGGACTAGCTCTGTAGACCAGGCTGGCCTGGAACTCACAGAGATCCACCTGCCTCTGCCTCCCGAGTGCTGGGATTACAGGCATGTGTCATCACCGCCCGGCTAATTGTATCCCTTGTATGCAGCAGAAAGATGGGTCCTGCGTTTATATCCATTCTGTTAGTCTTTTTAGTGTCTTTTTATAGGTAAATCAAGTCCATTGATATTAAGGGATATCAATGACCAGTGATTGTTCATTCCTGTTATCTTTGGTGGTATTGTATGTATATTTCTCTTCTTTGGGATTTACTGCTATGGGGCTATCTATTGCCTGTGTTTTTGTGGGTGTATCTGACTTCCTTAGGTTGGAATTTTCCTTCTAGTGCTTTCTGTAGGGTTGGATTTGAGGATAAGTATTGTTTAAACCTTATTTTGTCTTGGAATGTCTTGTTCATTCTGTCTGTGGTGATTGAAAGTCTAGGCTGGCTTCCATGGTCTCTTAGTGTCTGCATTTCATCTGTCTAGGTTCTTCTGGCTTTCAAAGTCTCCATTGAGAAGTCGGTTGTTATTTTGATGGGTCTGCCTTTATAAGCCACTTGGCCTTCTTCCTTTGCTGCTCTTAATATTTTTTCTTTATTCTGGAGGTTTAGTTGTTTAATTATTATGTAGCAAGGGTACTTTTTTGGGTCTAGTCTGTTTGGTGTTCTAAAGGATTCCTATATCTTCATAGGTATTCCCTCTTTAAGTTGGCAAACTTTTCTTATATGATCTTGTTGATTATATTTTCTGTGCCCTTGAGTTGCTATTCTTCTCCTTCTTCTATACCTATGATTCTTAGATTTAGCCTTTACGTGATGTCCTCAATTTCCTGGACATTTTGTGTTATGACTTTTTTGGCTTTGGTATTTTCTTTGACTGATGAATCTATTTCCTGTACTGTATCTTCTACATCAGTGAGTCTCTCTTTCATCTTTTGTATTCTGTTGGTTATGCTTGCATATGTGTTTCCTGTTTACCTAGATTTTCTATCTCCAGCATTCTCTCTCTTTGTGTCTTCTTCATTGTTGGTATTTCACTTTTCAGGTCTTGAACTGTTTCCCTCATATGGTTAATTGCTTTTTCATGGTTTTCTTTGCTTTCTTTAAGGGATTTATTAATTTCTTCCATTTTTTTGTTCATCTTTTCCTCAATTTCTTTCAAGGAATTTTTCATTTTTTCTTGAACGGCCTTTAGCATCTTCACAAAGCTATTTTTAAAGTTGCTTTCTTCTACTTCTTCTACATTGTGGTTTTCAGGTCTTGCTGTTGGAGGAGGGCTAGGTTTTGGTGATGCCACATTACTCTTTATGTTGTTGTAAGTGTTTTTGCATTGATTTCTGCCCATCTCCTCCTCTAATTGGTATAAGAGATGCCTGTGTCTGAGTGGGTTGCTATTGGTCCACTCTGTGCTTGTTGTGTCTGTGTCTCAGGGGGTCCCTCAGGTCCAGTCTTAGCTCTTGTTCTAATTGGAGCTGGCAGATTCTTTATCTCAGGGAGCTGCTCTTGGCCCAACCCAAGATAGTTGATTCTGTGACTCATGTAACCATTCTTGGTCTTCTCAGGGCTCTTGGTCCAGTCAGAGCTGACAGATTGTGTGTGTCTCAGGAAGGCTCTCTTAGTCCAATGAGAGCTGGTAGATTCTATGTCTCAGAAAGCCACTCATGATCCAATGAGGGCTGGTGGATTCCCTGTCTCAGGAAGTTACTCTTGGTTCAATGAGAGCTTACTGTTTGGTTTCCGTGTCTCAGGAAATTATTGGGGTCACAGGCAGATGTTGGGGGCAGGGTGTGGAGCTTATAGATTGCAGAGTCCAATGGGTTTTTTTGGGGGGGGGCTTCCTGCAGGAGTTTTCCCTCCTGGTTGGCAACTGGGGTTGAGTTGGGTGGGGGTTCCTGGGGACCGGCTGTGTCCTAGGGCCTGGGGCCTAAGGGCAGGACTCTCTGAGTTTGAGATGGGTCACTCACCTCTTGGTCCAATAAGAGCTGGTGGTTTGGTTTCCATGCCTCAGAAAGTGGCTGGAGTCACAGGTGGATGGGTATTGGGGCAGGGCATGGAACTTGTAGATTGCAGGGTTTTGGTGGGGGGACCTTCCCTCAGGAGTTTTCTTGCTGGCTGGCAACTGGGGCAGAGTTGGGTCAGGGTTTTGGGGGACTGGCTGTGTCCAAGGGTCCTAGGGACTGAAACAAAGCACTCTTAAGGACAGGGTACATTCTCATTAGTAGATGGCCAACACATAAAGAATTCAGTGGCATCTTTGGAGATTCATTGTCTCTGAAAGTTGTGGTGGTAAAACTTCCTTTATTTCTTTCTTATTTGATTTTTTACCTTATAGGCACTTTTTGTATACTTTATGGTATCCAGTTTGGTCTTTTTCTGGGATTCCCAAATATTAGAACTAGTGTGCCTCTGTATCTATGTGAGGTTTTTGTTTTTGTTTTACTCTTTTGTTTGTTCGTTTTGTCAAGTTCTCCTTCTCCTTCTTCTTCTTCTTCTTCTTCTTCTTCTTCTTCTTCTTCTTCTTCTTCTTCTTCTTCTTTTTGGTTTTTTTGAGACAGGGTTTCTCTGTGTAGCTTTGCTCCTTTCCTAGAACTCACTCTGTAGATCAGGCTGGCCTCCAACTCACAGAGATCCACCTACCTCTGCCTCCTGAGTGCTGGGATTAAAGACATGCACTTGTCAAGTTCTTTATAGATCATTTTTGTTAAACCTTATTATACTTTAATTTATCATTGTTTCTTAGGTTTCTGTGTGTTTTCTTATGTGATTGAGAGAAAGAAAGTATATTGATTTAGGTCACTAGAAATGTCTGGAGAATCTTGGAGGAGTTCAGGTCAAGTAAACTGTAATCTTTACATATTTTATTAAAAAATTATTTTCAATAAAAGAAAAAAGAAAATCATATGGAGTGAATCAATTATATCATGTGAATGTAGCGACTGACCATGACAAATATTCATCCTTATATTCATGAAGGAGAAATGTACATTGCAATCATAAAAAAAGTCAAATTTCAGAAAAAAAAATGAGTTAGCTTTTTATTGACCTGGAGTGACTGACTCAAAAATTCCTAATCAGCATGAACTCCTCAGACAAGACAAAACTCATGCGAATCTACTGAGATTTTGTATGAGTTTTGTACTTAGTCTTGGATGTGTTATAAAAAAATTCCCTGCCTTTACTGGACACTGATTTAGTGTGGCTGCTCCACTTTATGCATGACCTGGGTAGATGTGATACACTAATAATTTTGGCTGAGCCCTGATGTGCAAGGGCCTGCTATCATTCTTTCATCTACTTTCTAACAGGCATCTTCAATTTGAATCATCTTGAAACATTCTCCTGCCATAGTGTCTCTGTACTACTTTTGGAAAAAGTGCACTAATGAATAGATATAGCTTATTCTATGTGGTCTTCAATATACCATGTCCCCTGGGAATGAGAATAACAATCCTCAATTGTATCTTTCAACTTGTGATTCCATTTAGAACAAGGTGCTCAGATGCAGAGCCCCAGGGTAGAAAGTGTTCCACATTCCTCTAGAGGATTTTAATAATATAAGTAAAAACACATTGGCAGGGTTTTCAATTGGACTTTCCAATCAAGATAAAAATGTGCACAAATATTTGCATCTACCAACTTCAGTTCCATGAAGGTTTAGGCCTATTTAGTCGTAATAATAATGTTCCTGTTGGTTTTTATTTGCCTTATCTTGCTATTTCCTCAGCTAATCTACTCTTATGACCCTATTAATTGTGCTTTGAAAAAGAAAGCAAGTATAGTCCAAGAAGGGGATGTTGTGATTGCTGCAATGCTCCCTTTATATATTTGGCAAAGAAAAATCAATGCCACAGGTCATTATCAGAATGTCAAAAGGTGAGTACCTTCTTTTATTTACTCATTTTCTGTATTGGACATCAAGGATCTGATGACAAATTCATCAATACTTGTTGTAGCCATTCCTCTGAATCCTTCCCCAAATCCATAGAACATTCTGTAATGCATTTTTCCACTATTGATTAGTTTTTAAATTAAGTAAGGGCAAATTTTATGACATCTCTTCCTTTCATCTATTGCTTTTCAAGGGTTAATGCTCTCAAATTACTTTAGCATGCCTAACTTTTCCTAGTATAGAATGTAATTGTAATGTAATGTAAATGTATTGTACTTTAAAGCATAATCTGAGCCAATTTTCTAAAATCTGTTATGAGAGGCCATAGCAAGATTCCCATCCTCAGAGTCCAGTATATGATGATGTCCCTTTAAATCACATCTTCTATTCCTACAATTTCTTCTGAGAAACCACTGATATTTTTGATCATATACAATAACTCATTGCATCCTATAGGATCCATTTATATGTTTTATGACATTTATACCATTGCTTCATGCTGTGTAATTTTTCACAGCATCAGAAACAGCAATCTGAAAAGGAAGAAGAGAACAGGAATCTGTGAGAGCAGGCATTTGCAACACAGGGTTACAAACTAGAACATCTTTTCAGTTTTAGAAGACTTTCCTTCCTTTTATATGAAAATGACCAGATATTTGCATGGTTAACTTTATTCAATTTACCACTTTCCTAAGACTCCATGCTCTCTTTATTTTCTGAGGTTGACTTCCATATATATATATATGTTTTTTGAGACAGGGTTTCTCTGTGTAGTTTTGTGCCTTTCCTGGAACTCACTTTGGAGACCAGGTTGGCCTCGAACTCACAGACTTCCATATTTTTATTAATGTTTATTTGTAGCATTTTTATTATTGGTAGCTACTGTGGAACATTAGTTTCACTACAGACAAATTAGTAAGATTTTCAGTTCATTGTCAGAGACATCTGGGATAAGTTTCATAATATTGATTAGTAAGTTTTAATAAACCTGTGGTTCATGATAACCATAATGAGGGATAATTTATTTCATCAAGGGCCTATGTAGATATTTAAACTATTAAAGAGAAAAATCCTCTGTATATGGAACAGATGTGTAGAAATCTATATTACATGATGATTGTGGTGTCAGTAGTAGTAAACTTTTAAAGAATAGATAGGAGCTATTCTGCCTTAAGTAAAATCAGAGCAATATTCTAAAAGCCATAATGTGACCACTTAGTACTTTGTGAAAGATTGTTGAGTGAAATAATTAGAAATAAAATGATATATGGAATATTTTTTATGTAAAACAATTTGTTAAAATTGGAAATTTGCAAATCACCAACTGAAATACAAAATTGCAGCTCTAGTACAGTCCTGGGAAGCATTAAATATTCCCAGGAATAAACTCTTCACCATTGAAGAAGTAAAATATGCCTGTATCCTAAGAACTTTAGGCACAACTGTTGTTAGAGGGCAAGTTCATTTATATTTGTAGGCAGAGAAGGTATATGGACATTTTCTTTTCTGCTTTTCAATCTCACTAGATCACAGACCAACGTACTCCAGCTGGTTGCTTTCTCCATATATGCATAGTTGAATCTCTCCAAGATGGAAGACAATAAACCTGCAACTACCCAATTATTGATTCAGTGTAAATTATTACTGAATGATTTATTTAGTAGAATAGTACATATTCAAACAATAATTTGAAACTTTAATGTGAGATGTGGCAGTAGAATGCATTGAAACTCCATGGACAGTAAAATTATTCTAGGTATTGTTAATTTCTAACAACATTCACATTGTCTGCATATGGAAATCCATATAAAAAATTGTCTTCTATTTATATTTCATTATTTAAAATAATAAATATTTCTTTTTCAACAATTTGTATGCTATACTTTTTAGTTTACACAAAAGTGTATTCTGTAGGAAGGAAAATCATTTACTCCTAAGTACAATGTACAACTTGTGTTTGTCAGATTTTGTAGCTTCTTAAAATCAGTATGATCCTATCATATATTTTGGCTGCTGCATATGATGTTGATATAGCTTCCTTTAGAGAATCAGGTAAATGGGAAGAAAGACATCAAAGTTCAGATGTATACTTTTTAATTATATTTATTTATTTATTTTTCTATTTACTTCAGTCAGGGAGAAGTATTATTGTAATTTACATTCTCACAAACAGTATGTATCATTTTTCAATTCTGAACATTCTTGCAAGTATTTTCTCATTTTTGTGCTTTATTGTAAAAACTGGCTTATGATGATATGTGGTTTTTATTTGCACATCCCTGACAGGTAATAAATTTGAGTAATTGTTGTTATTAATTTTGTAGTCTATTGAATTCACTTTCTGTTGGAAATGGATTTTTTCATACAACACATTTTGATAATCATTTCTTAATAAAAAATAAAATGTTTATATTTTCCAGCCCTACTTCTTTTAGGACTTTTACCATGAAAATGTTGTATTTTGCTAAAGGCTTTGCTTCATCTGTTGAGATGATCATGTACTTTTCAACTCTAAGTCCATTTACATTGTTTATTTTGTTTATTGACTTATGTATGCTTAAATGATGTTGCCAATGTGCTCATGGAGTACAACCATAACATGTGCCTGTATATGTTTTGCTAGTATTTTATTGAGAATTTTTATATTTATGTTAATCAAGGATATTGCTCTGTGTTTATTTTCCCATTGCTGATGTTGCATCTTTACCTGCTTTGTATATTAAAGTAATATGGGCTTAACAGAATGACTTTAGGGGTTATCATTCTGTTTCTATTTTTAGAAAACAATTAAAGGAGTATCATTTGTAACTCTTCTTTGAAAGTGTGGTACAATTCTGGTCTGAACCTATCTGTGCTCAGTTGTGTTTTTTGTTCATGTTGGGTTTTTTGTTGTTATTATTCTGTTCTGTTTTTGCAAAAGCTTTTTATTACTGTTTCTGTCTTTTATAATTAAATTACATTACTTTTTTTCTTTTACTGAAAATAAAGTCTTGGGGTTGGAGAGATGGCTCAGTGGTGAGAGTATGGGCTGCTCTTCTAGAGGACCCAGGTTCAATTCCCAACACCTACTCGGTGGCTCATAGCTGTCTGTAACTTGAGTTTCAGATGATCCAACACACTCACACAGACATATGTCCAGGCCAAACACAAATTCACATAAAAATAAAAGTAAATAAATCATTCTTCTAAAAAAACAAAAAAATTGGTTTGTTTTCTCATATAATATATCCTGATTAGAGTTCTCCCTTCCTGTACTCTTCCTTTTTGTTCATTCCTCCTCTTCCTTCAAGATCCACTTCTTTTCTGTTTCTCACCAGAAAAGAGCTGTAGTCCAAGAGATAACCAAACCTGTCAAAATAAAATATAATAAGATGAAGCAAAACTATATATGAATATTGGACAGGGCACTCCAACAGGAGAAAAGAGTCCTAAGAGCAGTCATGAACATCAGAGACCCATTTATTCTCATAGTTAGAATTCCCATAAAATACTAAGTCTATAGCAATAATGTGTATGCTAAGCACATGGTGAAAACCGTGTAGGCCCTGTGCTTACAGCTTCACTCTCTGGGAACTCATAGGGTCCTTGCTTTGTGGATTCAGAGGTCCTTTGCTCTCCTGGTGTTTTCTATTTCCTCTGACTCTTAGAAACTTCCTACCTCCTCTTCCACAAGATCTCTGAACTCTGAGGGGAGGGATTATATGAAAACCTCCAATTTAGACTCTCCTTTTCCACATAATGTCTATCTGTGGATCTCTGCATCAGTTTCCATCTAATTCTAGAAGAATCTTCTGTGATGATGATTGGAAAAGGCACTAATCCACTAGTATAGCAGAATGTCAAAAGGAATCATTATATTGATTTTTTTTGACAAATAGCTTTGGTTTTGCCCTAAGCTTCTGGGCTATCTTGTCTAAGGTTTTTGGTTATACAAGAAGTGTCCTGTCTGGGTTCCTTCTCAGTGGGCCTTAAGTCAAATCATACATTACTTGATTACTCTCACAAAACCAGTGCCATCATTGCTTTAGCAAATTTTGCAGTCAATACAGATGATTGGTCAAAGATTTTGCAGCTGCGTTGATGTGCACATATCTTGTTTGTTAGTCTTCAGAGTTCCTTCCCACACCAAAGAGACTGGAACATAGTGGTCCTATGTAAGCACCATCTTGGCTTCTCCTTGTTCAATGAGTTGTGTAGGTGTTGACCTTGACAACGGGGCCCCACTGTCAGTTTGATGAGATCAGTTTTTTTGTTAGCATCAGCTTGAAAATGTGGGGGATTTTCATGGGATGCTCTTGGCCAACAACTCAATTGGCAAATACCAGTCCAGTTCCATTACTGGAAGCCTCACCTGGCTACAAGAGATGGTCAGTTGAGACTCAGTATCCCCCCATTAATAGGAGTTCTCATTAGGATTTCATTCATAGAATACATGAAGTTTTCACTGCACTAGATTTCCACAAAGTCTCCCCAATTCCAGTCTTTTCTCCATATGCTCTTTTTCTCCACTCCATCTCCTCCCAAACTACTCAAACTACTCCCATACCCACCCACAACCAGTCTACCCATAAAATCCATTTCTCCCTCCTTGGGAGATGCCTGTGTTTCCCTAAATCCCTCCATTTTATCAAACTTCTCTGGGTCTACTGATTATATTTTAGTTATCATTTTCTTAAGGGCTAATATTCACTTATAAGTGAATACATGTTATATTTGGGTTAACTCATTTAGGATGACGTTTTCAAGTTCCAACCACTTGCCTGTAAATTTCATAATGCAATATTTCCTTTTCTTTTTTCTTCTTATTCTTTTTTTATTTTCCAGACAGGGTTTCTCTGTGTAGCCATGGCTGTCATAGAACTTGCTGTTTAGAACAGGCTGGTCTCAAACTCAGAGATCTGCCTGCCTCTGCCTTTTGAATGCTAGGATTAAAAGTATGTGCCACCATGAACCACCTTTGATGTCATTGTTTTTGGAACAGCTG